TAAAATACAAATATACAATACCTAGTTAAAATTAATTAAAATCATTAAATAGTTTTGGCTGAATTATAAAACCCAAAATTAAAACCCAATTTAAAATCAATCAATTTGACAGCCCCGCCTGTTGGAACAGTAGGGTCTTGAGGGCACAGCGAAAAACCGGAGGTCAGAAAAGTTACAAATATCCGGGGGCAATTCATTCCAGAGTGCAGGAGCTCCCACAGAGAAGGCTCTCCTCCTGGGTGTCGCCAGCCGACATAACTTGGCTGACGGCACCCTGAGTAGTCCCTCTCTGGGAGCGAACTGGTCGGTGGGAGGCTGTTGGTGGCAGAAGGCGGTCCCGTAGATATCCTGGTCCTATGCCATGGAGCGCTTTAAAGGTGGTAACCAACACCTTGAATTGCACTCGGAAGATCATTGGGAGCCAGTGCAGCTCGCACACGAGAGGTGTTACATGGGTGTAACGAGGTGCGCCCATAACCACCCGCGCGGCCGCATTCTGGACCAGTTGGAGCCTCCGAGTGCTCTTCAAGGGGAGCCCCATGTAGAGAGCGTTACAATAGTCCAGATGGGAGGTGACAAGGGCGTGAGTGACCCAGGCGTCCCAGTCCAGAAAGGGATGCAACTGGCAGATCAGGCGAACCTGATAAAAAGCCCCCCTGGCTACGGCCGTTATATGCTCTTCTAAAGACAGCCGTGAGTCCAGGAGGACACCCAGATTGCGAGCCCTCTCTGTGGGGAGCAGAGATTCACCCCCAATAGTCAGCAATGGCACCAGCTGACTATACTGGGACGCCGGGAGCCACAGCCACTCAGTCTTGGAAGGGTTGAGCTTGAGCCTATTTTTCCCCATCCAGACCCGCACGGCCTCCAGGCAGTGGGACATCACATCAAGGGCATCATTGGGATGGTTTGGGATGGAGATGTACAGCTAGGTGTCATCAGCGTACTGGTGGACTCTCACCCCAAAACCACGGATGATCTCACCCAGGGCTTCACATAAATGTTGAACAGAAGGGGCGAGAGGACCGACCCCTGCAGCACTCCCCAAGCGAGGCGCCTTGAGGTCGACCTCTGCCCCCCCTGCCAACACAAACTGCGAGCGGTCAGAGAAGTAGGAGGAGAACCACTGTAACACGGTGCCTCCAATTCCTAACCCCCTCAACCGCTGCAGCAGGATACCATAGTATCAAAAGCCGCTGAGAGATCTAATAGGACCAGGACAGAGGAGCAACCCCTGTCCCGAGCTCTCCAGAGATCATCCACGAACGCGACCAATGCCGATTCTGTGCTGTACCCCTGCCTGAAGCCCGACTGGTACGGGTCCAGATAGACAGCTTCCTCCAGGTACTGGGGTAGATGTCGTGCCACCACACTCTCGACAACCTTCACCACAAAACGAAGGTTGGAAACCGGACGGTAATTTGCTAATAGAGCCGGGTCCAGGGATGGCTTCTTGAGGAGGGGCCTCACCACCGCCTCTTTCAAGACGGCGGAAAAGGCACCCTCACTCAAAGAAGCATTTATAATCCCCTGGAGCCAGCCTTGTGTAACCTCCCAGGAGGCCAGTACCAACCAGGAGGGACACGGGTCCAATAAACATGTGGCAGCACTAAGCCTACCCAGAATCCTGTCCATGTCCTCGGGAGCCACAGGGTCAAACTCTTCCCAGATAGAATTCTCCAGACTCATCTCCACCTCCCTCCCCGAACTCACCCAGTTGGAGTCCAAGCCTTCCCGAATCTGAGCGACTTTATCATGCAGGAATTGCACAAAATCCTCAGCTCGACCCTGCAAGGGATCTTCCCGCACTTCCACCCGAAGGAGGGAGTAGGTCACCCTGAACAGGGTGGGCGGTTCTCTGCAGATGTGATAAGAGCGGAAAAATAGTTAGATTTTGCCGCTTTTATCGCCACTAGGTAGGTCTTGATATAAGATCTCACCTGTGTCCGGTCAGATTCGGATTGACTAGCCCTCCAAACACTCTCTAGGCGTCTTTTCTGATGCTTCATCTCTCTCAGCTCCTCGGAGAACCAAGGAGCCAATTGAGATCAGCATCGGGTCAGAGGCTGCAAAGGCACGACACGGTCCAAAGCCCCTGCGGCCACACTATCCCAGGCGGCCACCAGGTCTTCAGTCGAGTCGTGTGCCAGAATCTCCGGAAATGGCTCAAGCCCCATCTGGAACCTTTCGGGATCCATCAGGCACCTGGGACGGAACCATCAGTCGGTTCCATCTCCCTGCGGCAGGGGAAAGCGGCTTGAAAGTCTTAAGTGAAGGAGCGAATGATCTGTCCATGACAAGGGTTTAATGTCTAGGTCCCCTCTACCAAGATCATTCAGCCACTGACCAGAGATGAAAATCAAGTCCAGAGTGTGTCCCCCTCTGTGAGTGGGGCCTTGCACTAACTGGGTCATGTCCATGGCCGTCATGGAAGCCATGAACTCCCGAGCCACCTCTGATGTCTCACCGATGGATGGCAGGTTGAAATCCCCCATAACAAGTCTGGGGGTATCAACCGCCACCCCAGGAATCACGTCGAGTAGCTCAGGCAGGGTCGCCGCCACGTGGCAGGGAGCCAGGTATGTAGTCAGCAAACCCATCTGCACCCCACGACCCCACTTCACAAAAAGGGACTCACATCCGGCTATCTGAGGAACAGTGGCCTCCCTCGGACAAAGACTTTCTCTAATAATTGCCACTACTCCCCCACCCCTCCCCTGAGCCCTCAGCTGATGAAATGCACGGAAACCTGGAGGGCACATTTCAACGAGGGGGACACCCCCTCCTGGCCCAACCAGGTATCCGTAATCCCAGCCAGGTCTTCACCCCCCTCCACAATAAGATCACAAATGAGGGCGGCTTTATTAATTACCGAACTGGCATTACATAACATCAGTCAAGGACCCAGGGCCTGAGACTCTGTGCAATCCAGGACACGAGCCACGCTATGGGGGCCGGAGTGTGCAATCGCTCGGAGACAGCGCGTGCCCACCCCCAGAACCTGATATGGCCCCCTGCACCCGTCATACCTGCCCCTCCCACTTACCACTTTGATGGAACTGCCCTTCGTTTCGCCCCCTGGAGCCCCGGTCAGATTACCCTTCTCCTCTCCTCTGCTGCGCCCATCTAACCCACCACCCCGCAGTGTGGCTATATGGACCCCCCCAGTCCATCTCTACAGCTCCCTCCCCCCCCTCCCGGGTCCCCTTGAAAACGTCCCTGCTACCCTTAGAAGGGTAGAACTAGAAATAGAAGGAAAAAACTCCACCAAAAGCACTGACACATATAACTGGGTGGGAGTGAGTGAGGTTGAGTTGGCCACACCCACCCAGGTTTTGTGACTCTCTGTGTTTTCTTTTCTGTGGGAAATGGGTCCAAATGGCTCTGAGTGTTTAAGGTTGCAGACCTGATATAGAGTGTTGATTTTCTTAGGCCACACTCTCCCTCATTACACATCACATGATCTGTTCACTATCCACTAAGCATTTAAGTTTATACAGTTTGGAGGTGGAAAATATGCATACAAAGCAGGGGTGGGTTCTACTTACCTTTACTATTGGTTCGCAATGGGATAGCGCGCCCTTGCTTCGCTTGTGCATGCGCCTTGCTTCTGCACATGCGCAGAAGCTCTGCGCATTTGCAGATTGCCGATGATGACATCTGGGGTAGTGGGAGGACCTCCCGCCGGTTATACTACCAGTTCTTGCGAATCGGTTTGAAATGGCGGCAACCCACCACTGATACAAAGGATGATATGGTCAAAAAACTCACTTGCCTAATAATTGTGTACATGGTGTATAATCCTGGCTATTTTTTTTTTCTTCTGTTCAACCACATCTGCTTCTTGGAGACTTCCTGGATAAGTCCCTGTGGTTTTCTTGGCAAGGTTTCTCAGAAATGCTTTAACATTGTCTCCTTCCTAGGCTGAGAGAAAGTGACTGGCCCAAGGCCACCCAGTTGACTTTATGCCTAAGGCAGAACTAGAACTCACAGTCTCCCAATTTCTAGCCTTCTACACCATACTGGATAGGACATATTCTGTGTATATCTTATTAGTATTTTCAGTTACATTGACAAGCAGGAGACACCACATGGGATTTCTCCCATGAGTCTAGTCAGATGTTATTTTATGGGCTGAAACTTTTTGGGAACTGAACTCCTATTTCTGCATAGTTTAGATAACTATATACAGTGCATATCAATAGTACTAGATATTATGTACTGTATAAAAATAGAAAATCCTATTCTGCAGAAGTCATGTGCAGAAGGCATGTAGAACTTGTTATGTGAGAACCTTAACAAGACATGGATTGTACAGATCATTTAGATTTTATTACTTTTCGATACTGTTGAAAACCAGCATTTCATAAGTTTAATTCCCAGTAGAGGGCACATGGACTATATATAAAGATCCTTTATGTAATGTTAATAATGTAAATATATGTAAATGATATAAAATCAGAATTCCCTACTTTTGCAAAGTAATAGGAATGCAAGAACATAGGGCTTCTAACACAGAGAAAATGTACAATACAACATCTAACTAGACTAGTTAGCCTATTCCCTAGTAATACCCTAAAACCTGAGGAATTTATGATTCTTTGTTTCTGCTTCTTCAAGAATTCCAGCCATTTATCTGAACATTTTTCTTGTTTTCCCAGCTCAGGCACAGAAAGTTCTTGTTTCATCTCCCCAGATTTCTGCCTTTTGCCTAAAAAAGAAATCTGGAAGAGGAGAGTTGGCAAAATGTGCTAAAGTTTATTCCAGAGAAATGTGTAGTCTCTCCCTTTCTGGCATTACTCTATCATGGAGGCTGTAGTTTAGTGAATGTTGGCTGACTACTGATGGCAATTACAATGATCAGTTACATAAAACTTTAAACAGCTAATAATCTGAGAAGAACTTGATCTATTTAATTTAGTTAGAAACAGAGAGGGTTTTTTTTCTATATTTATTTATTAACAAATAATAAAAACAATACAATAGAAAACAACACAATACAAAGAATAATTATGAGAAAGTTCAGGGAAATGAGATTTCAAAAAGAGGTTCACTTTAATAAAATGTACAGAGTGTATTTGTAATGAATGCAGAAAAAAAATCCAAATGATATAATTTTTAAAGCTTCCTGTGATAGCAAAAAAACCAAGAGATTTTTAAAATGTAGCATTCATATAAATAAACATGTGCTAAGGAGGTTGAGGGCTAGTAACCATAGCCTAGTTCAAGAACAGAAATTTAAATTTCTGGGTAGGAACGAAAAATATTTATGTTTTAGGAGAGAGAGAGAAACAAGCCTTTTGGGTATCGTTAAGCTACTTTCAATAGCTTAGTGCGATGAACATTTATTTTGGACTTTCTCATTTCCGGATTTGGGAAACTATCAATAATATGTCAGACGGAATAAAGAATTGTGCCCAGTTTTTTCCCTCTTCCTCGGCTGAGAGGGAAAAGGAGAGAATTTTTAGCATGATTAGTTTATAAAGTTAGGGGAATTACTTAGGTGGCAAATCTGAACATAGGAATTACAAATTGTTCTAGTGTCTGAAGATTTCGTCTTTTTTTCATATTCAGAAAACTTTAAGAGTGATAAGAGTGCATGCATGGCTGTATGTATTCCTGCACCATTACTGTAAAGGATGTTGCCATAAGCCAATAGCCAGAAAAAGGAAAGTTTTACTTGATGTGCAAATATGTAATTTTGGAATGGCTGAAAATGATGCTTCTTCAAAAGCAAGAAAAAGAAAAAGATACGCAAGCAGGAAAGAACATTGGCCTTTGCTCTAGAATTTCAGAAGTGGTAATTTTAAATTCTTTTGTTGCTATATGTTTCATGTAATATATTTGAATAAATCTTTGATAGCTGAAGACAAAGTTTTGAAATGCATCTTCTTAATTATTTCATCAAATTTGTCTGATTTCATGATGAATTAAAGTTTTTTTTTTAAAAAGCGATTTATTTTTTTTAACTGTAACCCTTAAAAAACCCTTTAAAAACTAAACCATTACAACATGTTAATTTACTTTTGAAATAATTCCCATAACATCAAAGTAACTAACTGCTTTTCCAAATAGTTATTTCTATTTAGCCGGTTAAACTAACTGAGGTGTTAATTAGAAGAATTACTCCTATTTTTAAATGGATCGGTATAGATATTAAGTTACTGCAAAAACATATTTCACCCTAAACTGATCTAAATAGGCCAGTCCTATATAATACTTTATCACCATGTTCCAAATTTCAAGTTAAATGAATAATATTTAAGTAATTTATCTATTCTCTATCTTCTAGAGAGATATCTTCCCAATTCCAATTGTATTGATCTACTTATTTGGATATATTGTCCCAATACCAAGTGTTATGTGCTGTGTTTATTTCATTCTGCACTAAAAAGATTTTTGTTATATATGTAGACAAAGCTATTGTACGTTGTGAGAAAGAAAAGGAAGGGACAATAAATGAAGAATGCTTCTGAAGTAATCATCTGTCTAGACCGTCTTATGCTTTGAATAGTAGATGGGAAATGTAACAGTCAGTCTTGGTATTTGATATTCTATTCCTTGAATTGTTCTTTTTGTCACAAGTGCCATTTATAATATGTGTCAGACGCTGTGTCTTCTCTCACTTTGTAAAATTTTCAGTACACTGGAGAGCTCAAAGCTCTTTGAAATAATTTCCCGGAAATGTTCATCCTTTTCCACTCCATTCATGAGTTCTTCTAAGGTCAGTTCCCCTATTATAAAAACAATATGCACTTCTTTAGAGTCAAAGTTTTCTAGACGTTTTCTGTCTTGAATTAGGGAAAACACTATCATAACCACTACTATATTTATTACAGATAATCTCGAGTTACGAATGTAATGGATCCTGCCCATTATGATCATAACGTTAGCTGAATTGCGTTAAATGAATGAGCCCCGTCCCTCCTTTCACCAATGCATTTGTTAATCAAATGTGTGGGTCATTAAGAGCACATGAAGTACTTCAAGAGTGGGGAAGGTCATGGGAGACCTAGTCAGGGACAAGACCATTGTCTCCAGCCACCAAAGGCTTCTCCCCACCCATTGAGATATCCCACGCTTTTCTTCCCACCCTTTGGAGTCCCCACAGCTTGGGCCTTCTCCCCACCAATCACCAATCACTCACTTTGGGAAGATCTCCAGAGCTCAAGTTGTTGTTACAAAGCTGTTTTCCTTAGATCTCACATTCTTACACACACCTCTGTCTTTTTGCATGGAGGACAGAAGAGGACAGAAGAGTGTGTAAGAACATGAGATCTATCATGTCTGTAGGCTTTGTTTTGTTGTAGCCTGAACGGTGCTATGTGTATCCACTGCATATTTTCTGCAACAGTTTCCTAACAGCTCTCGCAGAGGCATAGGTTGGTGCAGCCTGCACTTGCCTTGGGTGCCAGGCCCTTGTCCAGCCAGGCAGAGAAGACTTGGGTGGGCCCCTCCCCTTCCCCACTGAGCCCCAGCCTCTCTCACAAGTGGACGTGACCCTGCCCCACCACTTGTTGGAGTGCCAAACTCGCCCAGATTTTGCCAATTGTGCCACCACAGAGCTAGATAAAGAAATTGAGAGATTGGCGTACCAGCTGTGATGGATCCCCTCTGGTGGAGATCTGGCAGCATGGAGACGTCTGTGGGCTGTAGGGGTCTCCCCAAAAAAGGAGACCCTCTTGAGGGTGGGAGCACTCTGATCTATGGAGTGTGTCCATTAAGCGAAGGGTACAGGGAGCCAGTGCGCCAAGCTCTCAACTTCTTTATCCATCTCCATGTTGATGCAATTAGCAAGATCCAGGTGGGTTCAGAACTCCAGCAATTGACTTGAACTCTGGAGACCTTCCCAAGGTAAGTGACTGGTTGGTGCGGGTACGGAGGAGCATGTGGAATGTGGGCTAACCAAAGCAGTCCCAGTGTCTGTAGAGACCGGCAGGAATTGGCAGGGAGCATGTTGAACCTTCCCTAAGTGAACTGTCATAACTCGAGGACTACCTGTACTTGGTAAAACTAATATAGTTCCCCAATAATATGCTCTAATTTGTGTGGAACCAAATATTCCATTCATTTGAAATTGCATTTGATGCATTTCTGAATCCTGCAGTTCCATCTGTAGAATAGATCTACATAAGAACTAGTTTGTTAGATGAATAGAGCAGATCTCTTCAATCTGTTGCCTTCCACTCCAGATCTGTTAAATGACATTCTAATAATTAAAGGTCATCAATATGGAGAGCCTAGAACCGTGATGGCGAACCTATGGCACGCGTACCACAGGTGGCACCCACCGGAAGTCAGAAAACAGGCTGTTTTAGCCTCTGGAGGGCTTCGTGGGGGGGGGGGGGGGGGCTATTTTCGCCCTCCCAAGGCTCGAAGAAAGTTTCTGGAGCCTGGGGAGGGTGAAAAACGGGCCTACCGGGTCCACCATGCCATCACTGCCAAAAGTGGAGGAAGCGCGGGGGGGTGTCATACGCGCATGTGGGGGTGGGGTGCATTGAATTATAGGTGTGGGCATGTGCGTGCCTGACACCCCCACGCTCCCCCCCACTTTTGGCACACAACAGCAAAAAGGTTAGTCATCACTGGCCTAGATTGAGGAAGGCTGGAGAGATACTGCTTAGATATGCACAGCTACAGTATATGACTATGCTTCAGGGTGGGGGATGGGGATAATGAAAACTGAGAAAAGAAACTCTTAAACTCTAAGGAAATATTCAGACAGTTCAAACTCCTTGCTTCCTCAGGCTGCTTTTACTGAAACAATAAAAATGCAGAAGAAAAATATATTTGTCTTTGTGGGCCTATCTAATTTGAATTTCAGTTATTAGTTTTATTTTAATGTGTCAAAAGAATGATTCTCTCATCTTCCTTTAGCTCTGCATATTTATTCCGTTCTGATCAGTTTTATATTGGAAGGAAAAAGCTCTCAGAGACTCAGTCTCTGCATATATGAAACTTTTTCTTAAACTTTTCTTTTTGGAATTGATTGTTGCTGCTTAGGGGGTTAATGAATATGATGCTGAACTGACAATAAACTGAGATTTATAATTACAATAGAATTTAACTGAAATAAAAATCAGATTTCTCTAACATACAACCAAAGCAAGAATATCTTAAGTAACAATGCAACTGAAGAATGCTTGGTAAAATTATCCTGTTCCATCTGGATAAAAATACAGCTTGCAACATTTCAAACATTCAAGTTTCTCACTTTGATTCTCAGGGCAAGATTCAGCCCTTTGCTTCTAAAAAACACTATATATAACTAGCTGCCAATAATCACTTCTGATAGGATACCCTGGATTAAATGCAAAAAAAAAAAAAAAGTTCTGCAAGGCAATTAATTAAAATACAATTAACTTGTTAGAATCTCTATAAAGCAATTTAATAAAATTTGCTGAACAAAGAATTAAAAAATAAAGACTGAAATGAATGAACCATACTTTTCTCCATTCCTTTCTTTGCTGTCTTCAATTTCATCTTGCTGCAAACACACAGTGAGATTAAGCCATACAGTCTGAATGACTCTTTGAATTAAAAAAAAATCAATTTTTGCTTTGTACAATGTCCGTCATACAGTAATCATCTAATTAGATCAATTTCAACCAGTTATAATATTTCTGAAGTATGTATATGTGGCTAACTCTTTATAGCTTTATCAACAGAATGCTTTTACAAAATTGCAAAACGATGAAAATAAAGATTTCAAGATTTATTTATTCTTACCATCATTGTTTACATCTATCTTCTGAAAAATCAGGTTTGTCAATTCTTCAGGACTCATCTCTTGGTTGTTACTGAGGGTTTGAATAGCCTAAATAAATAATAATGTAAGAACAATCATGTTATATTACAAATGTAAGAGGTAGCTTTTGTATACCATCCATTTGAGGCAAATTTGAAAAGCATTCCAGTTAAATCAACACTGAAAACTACTCACATTATTTAAAAGAGTTTAAAATTTTAGAGACTTATTAACATTTCAAGTTTATGTTGAAATGCATATCACAGTGTTTCAATATTTAAAAAAAACTATTAGTACCATTCCTACTGCTTTTAATTTTTCATTGCAGATGAAGAAATGAAGATGGTGACAATGTCTTAGTATTTATCCATGTAGAAACACCATAGTTTTACTAAAATACTATATGTGGAGGAGCCTGTGGAGATGACCCAGAAGCTACACCTGGCAGGTCAAAAGTATACTGGCAGGGTAACATCTCTTCTAAAATCATTACACTGATTATTAGTAAGCTTAATGGACCAGTTCAGAATACTGTCCAATACCTATGAAGCAGGGGTGGGTTCTACTTATCTTTATTACCGGTTTGTAGTGGGGCCGCGTGCGCGAGCAAAGCAAGCACACAAGCACAGAAGTGTTTTGATGACGTCGGGGTCGGTGGGCAGAGCCTCCCTCCAGTTTTACTACTGGTTCTATAAAACCGGTGTGAACCGGGGGCAACCCACCACTGCTATGAAGTCTTCCATAGTTATAGATATTGCATCCCAGCACTGAATCTTGAAAGTACCTTCTAAGAGCTAACCCAACTTCAGAGGTAGGCAGATACTGTATACAGAAGTCTTTGAAACTCTTATCATGTTTACATTTGCTCAGCTCCATCTCTCTTTTTACAATTCATATATTGGTCTACACTGTTTTATATTTTTACATTTTATTTTATTGTTGTAATCTGCTATATAGAGTCTTCCTGTTGGGGCACACTATAAAAACATTAATAAATACAGTAAGAAGAAAAGTAGAAGCATAAAGTTGGAAAGGGACCATTTAAGTCGAAGCAGGAATCCAAATCAAAACATACATAAACACATAGAAGCCTAAATTATGAGCACTCCACTGCAGAAATCTGAATGCTTGACTTTTCTAAAGGGCCAAATTAGATATAATAAAAATGATGCCCAGAAATAATTTAACTTGAACATAATCTGTTTAATCTACATTTCAGCTCCCTTCTTAAAAGTTAAGCTACAACATAGCATATCCAATCAGGATACAATGACTCAGCATTACAATGACTCAGCAGTACTTCTTAAAGTCACATAATACATATTCATGTTAAAGTCATAGAACACATATATTGCCCATATATTTGCCTGGACAACCTGTTAGGCTTACACCATATCCTAACATAATCTAGGTAGCCTTAGTTCTTGCTGTGATGGCCTTTATGCTGGATATTTTTTTGTCTCTGGTCTATAATTACATTCTTTAATAAACAAATAATTGAATGATAGATGGCTAAAAAATACCAGATATGATGTAATGCTGCTGTTTCTTTGTTCCCATTTATGATAATAAATGTACTGCATGAATAAAAAAATTAACCACAGGGGAGAGTTTAGGATATAAAAAACTAAATTAAGTAATTGTAAGTAGTTTTCCTGTCCTGCTATTATAGACAGTCATACAAACATCAGGTGGTTCACTAAATCTTGGTTTTTCCTTCTTAAATGTTCACTCATTGTTTATGATTATTCGAACAAGAAACTATCTGCATATTAATGAACTGAGAGATCACACATAATTCGTCCCAGGAACTCTCATATTGTGGGGGTTTTGTTCTAATATAAGTCTTAAATTGAATATTCTAGAAAAGAAATTAGATTAGGTGTTGCCCTAAGTCAATGATGGCTAATCTTTTTGCCATTGTGTGCCAAAAGTGGGGGGAGCGCGGGAGGGATTGCGCGTATAGGTGCCCACACCCATAATTCTATGCACCCTGCCCCCGCGCATGTGTGTGTGACTCCCCCGCGCTTCCCTTGCTTTTGGCATGTGATGGTATGGCAGGCCCAGTAGGCCCATTTTTCACCCTCCCCAGGCTCCAGAGCTTTTCTAGGAGCCTGGGGAGGGCAAAAATGGCCTTCCCCACCCTCCCTGGAGGCCCTCCAGAGGCTGGAAATGGCCTGTTTGCTGACTTCCAGTGGGCCCAGAAGGCCCGAAAATCAGCTGGCTGATGCGTGCATGTGTGCCAGAGCTGAGCTCGTGTGCCCAACGATATGGCTCTGTGTGCCACCTGTGGCACGCGTGCTATAGGTTCGCCATCACGGCCCTAAGTGATATAACAATTTTTTTAGGAGAGATCTAAGACAGCCTAGATTGGACAGGCGTTGTGTCTTATATATAGCAATAGCACTTAGAATTATATACTGTTTCACAGTGCTTTACAGAGTCAACTCTTTGATATATACTGGTAGGAAGGCTTTTTCTTCTGTAAAAAGGCTTAGGAATTATGATCCCTATATTACTTTTTATGGGTGAACAGTTATTCTGTTTGCAAATATATGATTAAGAATTCTCTGCCTTGCTCTTTCATATCTGTTTAAAGCACAAAGAATAATAGTAATGGAAATACTGGGTACCTGGTATAAGAATGAACACATAAAAGTTGCATTTCCCCCAGTTTCTTTAAATATGTAAAACAGCTGTTACTCAGTTTCTTCCATGAACAATGAAACTCTTGCCCCACCTACAGTTCAGTCCTTTCCATCACTGTGGTTCATCTCTCTAAATGTGCTAAAATGTTTAGTTGTGATCACTCAGCAGCACTATCTTAGTTAAAGCAGCTTCTTTGAGTGCTCTTGAGCTAAATTACTCCTCCAAAATACCAACAGCCGATAGTAGCTTTGGATAGTTTAGTCTCCTCTAACGGAAGTGGGAAAAGCTTAGTGTAGATATATATTGCCTTTATCTGGGACAGCAAAGAAATCATAAGTGACAATTTGGCCATACATTTATTACAATAGTCAAAACACCATTATATTCACAGTATTAAACTCCCATAGAATGACTTTACTTGCTAATTTGTGCATTTACTCACCATTAACATGCTTATTACTTCTTTTTTATCAATTGTTCCACTCCCGTCAATATCATAAAGCTTAAAATACCATTTCAATTTTTGGTCAATTTTCCCTCGTATCACCAGATTTATAGCAGCTAAAAGCTCCAAATAATCAATAAATCCATCCTTTAAAAGAAACAAAAGGGGAGTTGAGTGCATTTGCAAAGTATATGAAATTGCATTTATTTTGACAATAATATTAATAAGAGGATAACTGGCTGCAAAAATAATTTAAGGTTATTTTGATGACTTCCTCATCCTGTAACTTTCTTGCTATAGAAGAGTCTGTCCCTTTCAGAAATAAGGAAAAAGATCAGTAAAAGGCCAGAAACAGAAAACAACTCACTGTATAAACTATAGATCATGAGAATAATAATAATGTGGTATGGAGACTTCCTCTCTGTATCACCACTTCAGACTGCCCACCAGATTTTAAAAAGTAGAAGTGGTAAACTTCGGAAATGTCACTGCTGTTACAGCAAACCAGAACTGTTCATTATGGAAACGGCAGTTCCACATCAAGAACTATTTCTGGCCACTGAGAAGAACAGCCTCACTGCCTCGTTCTACTGCACCTCAAATTTCTGCTAAGGCAATTTTACAAAAAGCACATTGTCAGTAATCTAAGGCATGCTAGCAGAGCGTGAGGTTGATAGCAGTTGTTTGCTCCATGTGAAAAATAGCAACGTGTAAGTTGTTCATCTCTTTTCTTGAAAAGGCTAGTCATATCAGGATGCCATGGAATTTTCACAAAAAAAAAAGAGCAGAGGGAAAATGACCAATCTTTATTCAGTGACTATGGGTGCCTGCTCTGCAAGAAAGAGGAACCCCGAACAATAGAAATTGTTGGGTTGAAGGCGGGACATGTGAAGGCGCTGATTTATGGGCACATTTTGAGCAAGTGGGATTGGTGTTTAAACAAAGTAAAATGTATTGACAAAGCAAAGCTGCTGAGAATTCCATTGTTAAGAGGATGGATAACTCTGATCTCTGAACTATTTCCTAGATCAGGGTGTCAAACTCAATTTCATTGAGGGCCGCATGAGGGTTGTGTTTGACCTCAGAGGGTCGAGAGGGGCGTGATGGGGTGGGCGTGGCCATGGGCATGACACGTGACCCTCCCTCATTATAATCTTCCTTTCTTCCTCCCTCCCTCCCTCCCTCCTTTTCTTTTTCCTTCACTCTTTATTTTCCTTTCTTCTTCCCTTTCCTTATTTTTCTTTCTTTGCTCTCTTCCCATCTTCCCATCTTTTTCATTGTCTTTCCCTTTCTCTTTTCCTGTCCCTTGCAAGCTCAAATGCAAACGGGGAAACATTTCTTGAGAACCTCCTGCGCCCCATTTTTGCTGACAGAGGCACCACGGGGCGGTCGTTTGCAGTTTCCGGGCCAGTCCTGGGGGCCAGATCTAAGCACCCCGCAGGCCGGATGTGGCCCACTGGCCTTGAGTTTGACACCCCTGTCCTTGATGAACTTATTTTAGGTGAGGAATGTTCATTATTTTCTTTCTGTCAGGATTACAAGAGTTTTTTGGCAGCAGAAACAGCCATGTTTGAGTTATGCATTAGGCAGGGATTGGGAAGAGTTTGAAGACGACTTTGTAGCTACTATCCATCACAATTGATTCAGTACTTTTGATTTATTTTCTTTTCAAGCATTTGATCCTATATGTGCTTATTCTAAAAAAAAGATTCTAAGCTGTTCCATTAAAATGTACTCACATATAAAGATATATAAAACTGTGCCACGATGGCTAATCAAAACTTCACTGCAATACGTTGAGAAAGATGCAGAGTAGGGCAACAATAGGTAAGTTGCAAAAACTAAGGCTTGAATATACAGCCAAGCACCGGGTCATAAATCTCAGAAACAAAAGAAGAAAGCATGAGGCCCTGGTGGAAAATCAGAGTTTAACAGGCAAGTACAACAAAGAGGCCAATGGATGGTTCTGCTCAAAATCTGAGATATTTCTAATCCAACAGACAGCATGAAAAATAAACAGGATCTCTATAAAAGTAGAGATCCTAACTCAGAAATAGAAATATGTGATTATTATTGCTGAAATGTTATGGGATGATATTCATGATTGGCACACGACACTGGAAAACTATTACAGATAGTCTTCGACTTATGACCACAATTGAGCCCAAAATTGTTGCCAAATGAAACATTTGTTAAATGAGTTTTGCCCCATTTTATGACTTCACAGTTGATAAATGAATCACTGCAGTTCCTAAGTTAGTAACATGGTTGTTAAATGTATGTGGCTTCCCCCTTGACTTTGTTTGTTCGAAGGTCACAAAAGGAGATCACATGAACCCTGCACACTGCAACCATCATAAATATGAGTCAGTTGCCAAGCATCTGAATTTTGATCACATGACCATGGGGAGGCTGCAAGTGAAAAACGCTCATAAGTCACTTTTTTCAGTTGTAACTGAACGGTCACTAAATGAACTGTTGTAAATTGAGGACTACCCATACTTGTGCAAAAGGAGCAGATCCAACAGGAGGAGGAGTGGGGGGGGCTGCATTATAGGCAAGGAAAAATATATTTGCATATATCTAGTTGAAACAATATTGGGATAAAAGTGAAACAAAAATAATACTGTTGTAGGAGTTTATTATATGCTCCTGCAGCAAGCATGTAATATACAGGTAAGACTTTTCTGCGTCAGATGACACTTCTCAAAAAGGGATGTGATAGTAATAGTGGGAATTTCAGTTGCTCAAATGTTTGCAGGAAATAATTCTACCAAAATTCTTTTTTCCTATTGTTGAAACTAGATTTATCAAAATGTTGAAAAAGCAGCTCTATGCATACCTTCTCAAAAAAATACATTACAATGAATTTTAAAGCACTTACTTCTGTGGAAGCAAGTGTTTTATTTTGTACTCACCTACTCTAGTGACCTAGAATTGGTCAAGCAACAGTCCAGGATTAATTGTACTGGGATCTTTTGTTTCAGGTCTTTTAAAGTCTACTGTTTGCTGATCCAAATTGCCTTGGGCAATGCTAATTTACAAACTGCCACATAAGTGTTTGTTTCTTTGATTTGTATCCTCTTTCATCTGGAGTATCCTTCTACTTTTATTTTAGAATGTCAGGTATGTAGCGCAATGTGGTCATTTTCTTTTTCAGATATAATTCGTGGTGTCTCTTTTCTTCAATGGTGTCTCCGGTACTTTTGGAAAAATATTTGTTTAAATCATAATAAGCAATCCCATTGGATTTAGTGGGCAAATACACTTTCAGGATTAAATCCTTAACAATAAAATGTACAGCAAAAATAGCTTTTATCTAATACTTATTAATTGGATGACATCTTGGATATAAAAAAGAAATGATTGATTCCATAGAAACACCATTGTGTCACAGTTGAAATTGTTCAACTCTGAATAATGATAAGTCCAAATCAAATTTATCAACAATTTGCAAAGAAGTATGTAAGTATGGCTGCAAAAACAGCTGCATTCATGCAAGTTCTGTGTATGAGACAAAAAAGGAGAATACTCAAAAAGTGGATAAGATGTATAGTTTCATCAGAATAAAACTATCATGTTTTAATAGTACATAAGCACATAAACTATTCTGACAGGCATGAGAAAGGATACAATTTGTGCCTCCCCTCATGGAATTTAAATATTTACAATTAAACATTTTGTGTTGATTTCCTTTATCAAATCATTTTTCTGAAAGAGGATTTCTACCATTTTTGTGAACTTCTTTGAACTCTAAGAGATTATAAGAATAATAGTGCAGAATAGTTGAATTCATTAATACCATTGACCTGCTACATAGAGCTGCTGGGAGCTGAGATCCAGCAACTTCTGAAAAATTGTAAATATTCTATTTGTAGATTAGAAGAACAAGTGCAGTCAAAGCTGGTCCAGCGTTACTATTGCTGAATATTAGTAACTGCAAAGAGTATCATTTTGCAATTTGTAAATTGAGAACAATAGATGTATTAAATATGTGCAAATTAACTCAATTCTTGCTAAACTCTGGTGGTTGCCTTGAGTACAGATATGGCAGAAAAGTGAGCACAATTATGATATTAAATGGATAGATAGATAGATAGATAGATAGATAGATAGATAGATAGATAGACAGACAGACAGACAGACAGATGATAGATAGCTAATTTTTATTCCAACTTTATTATTTTTATACGTGACTTCAAGCAATGAACATATATAATACTCCTTCCTCCTATTTTTTTCACAACAACAATCCTGTGAATGGGTTAGGCCACGGGTGTCAAACTTGGGGCGTCACGTTGCCAGCACATGACTTTTGTGACATTTTTTCCTTTCACGGAGCTGGGCTGAGTGTGGTCTACATATGACGCATCCAGCCTGTAGGCCGCCAGTTTGACACCCCTGGGTTAGGCTGACAGAGAGTGACTGTATGCATGGCTAGCTTTTCTGCTATATGCAAGCCAGAGCCACAAATTGCCTATCTCTGTGGTAAAGTATAAACTCAGAATCAAATCCTTAGACTGCTTGTTTACTATTTCCCACCTCACCCAAAGATTTCTTTCTGGTGCAGGAAAGGATCATTTTCCCATTACAGCATGCATGAAGTCAATTGGAATGTTGAATGCACAGCTCTTAAAGCTACCTTTCCGAAACAGATTGACAATCAGCAGCATCTTCAGCAAACTGCACTGACACTAAAATGATGATTTGAGTGTGCTGGTACAAATGTCGCATTTATATATTTGTCTCAATGTCTGACACAAAATATATGACATTTCCATGATAACATTATACACATTTGCCTCCCTCAGCCTCTCTGTTAGATTCTCAAAACTTCATTCAGAGGTGGTGAGCTTTTGCAGGACTCCCTGGGACTTTGAGCCCAGAGTTTTATTATTAAAATTCCGTAATAAATAGATTATTACTTAAACTTAATTTTGTGAATGTTTGACTTTATTTGTTCACAGGTTTCATGAGTACTCTGCGTTTTCATACAAGCACACCTTCAATGGAACAGAAGCCTCAACAGATGGCACTTTTTAATAGAAATAGTCTTCACTTAACAACTGCTCTATTTAGTGACTATTCAAAATTGCACTAAAAATGTAACCTTAGGCGCGGTCTAACCTTAGGGTCTTAGTGTCCCT